TCGTCTTTTCTATAAGAGGAAAAATGTTGGTGACATATGGATTGCCGTGATAGTTAAGAATAACTCAAAACCCTTATATGTTATTGGTCTTTATATTTAATGTAAGATTTTACCGTAGCTTGTCCAAGCATAATGGTGGCTCTATTGTCATTCCATCCTAAAACATTAACCTTATTAAGTGGAGTAATCCAAATTTCATATATCCATTAATTTTTTTTTTTCATATTTAAGAAATGTAGAATTTATTCTTAATACTCTTACATATGAGGTGAAGCATTAAAAACGTGTGTTTGTGTTGCTTGATTCATTTCAATTTCACCAGATTATATTTCTCTTATAAGTAAGAGATTAAGACTTAATTAACAGCAACTCCTACAGTTTCTGTTCACACACAAAAATGAAAAATTTGGAAGTCTTTCTTTTGTACAACATTTTCCTTCAATTAAACTAAGCTCAACCCTTGACCATCTCCATACATACTGGCCGTGGAGGTACAATAGTTTGAAATAGAAAAGAAAATAGAAAAAGGAAATATGTTTCTTCTTGCAGATTCTCACGAGGAGATTCAGTAGATGATATGCAATTTGATATTAATATGTCCCTTTTAATTCCTGTTGCACAAGTATTTGCATGAATATATTTATATACACACATGTTAAGTTGAGGGATAATCTTTAATTTTTATTTTTTATTTTTTGGTGTTATCAGCATGAAATCTGTAGTTGAAAGATACAACAAACAGAAAGAAGTGCAAAACCTTCTGCTAAATCCTAGTTCAGAGATCAAGGTATTTCTCATTAATAATTACAGCATTAAATAGGGTATAATATGTGGAGATTGTGGAGATTTTTGACTCAAATTAGGTTGATTTTTATTTTTTTTTGTGTGGGGTGGGGGTAGGGGGGGATATTGTTTTCTTTGTTACACGTGCTTTTTATTGGAAAATATTATTTTCTTTATTCCACGTGTTTTTTTTGGAAAAATATTGTTTCCATTATTTCACGTGATTTTTTTATCTTATTTCCATCTTTGTGATATTTCTAAGGTTTTGCATACAGTCCTATAAATGCTAGACTTTTTTCACAAGTTTTATATTACTGAATTATAGAATAATTGTGTAGGCACTTCTCCATATCCGTCAATTGAATAAAATACTCTATTCCTCTGCCAATTAGTTTTTTGCCCTTTGTCTTTTATTTTTTATTTTATTTTTGCAATCATATACTTCATATCATGTCATACATATTACCTTCATCCATTTTATTTACCAACAAATAGTCCATGCAATCCTTTTTGTGCTTACTTTCTAACAGTTGAGTCCAATTGAATCAAAAAGTATCGTGTATGCTAAAAGAAACGAAAGCTTAGGGCATGATTCCTTTTGCTTTGAACAAGAAATGACCTTTTAAAAGAGAGGAAATGAAATATGTCAACAATTCTTTTATGCTCCAGAATGGCCAAAAATTTTAGGTATTTATACACAACTGTGCTATTTTACTCTTCAATTCAATTATTTATAAAAATCTATTTTTCCTTTCCTCTTCCACAACCATTTTAACTTCTCTTTCCAGTTTCCTTTCCCCCTTTTTGGTGTTTTGTGCTATGCGAGTGAAATGTGTGGTGTCTAGGAGTGCTATGACAGCAGGCTACTAGATAAATGGGAGTTCACTTGAGGCTTTGGAAGTTTTGAGGGAGATGAATGCTTCACATAAAATCAATATATTGTGGTTTGTTATAGGGGTGATAATCAGTGTTCCGATAGGATCATCTTCTAAGAGGTCCCAAGATTAACCCAATAAGAAATATACATAATCACACTAGTATATTACAACTATAGCTGAAATATTCGAATCAATTTGACATGGAACAAAGATGTCAACCTCAACTCTTGCCTATCTTGGACCTCCTTGCATACTCCCTCAGCTGACGACCTCAAACTCGATTCCTTTAAATATTCATGAAGCTGCAGATGATCGTGTCCACTTCATTTACGAAATAGCTTGATTTTGGTAGGAATCCAACCAAAATACTTCAAGTGAAGGGCTAAAGTTTCCATTTAGGACACAGCTAGTTTTTAGAAATTAAACTAATTAACATCATGATGTATTGATGTTCACCGAAAGAGAAATGAACTGCTGTCCTCAATAGTCTCAACAACGGACATTGAAATAACTCCGACAAGAATAACCGTGGATTTATGAACAAGTACCAGTTATATAGGCTTTGTGACATTCGGAATTGGGATCAATTTTTTGATTCCTCCACAAGGTTCTCCATATAGAAAATTAATACAAACATTTACATGAAACTCCAAAATTGGATAAAATCCTCGAACTAGTCAAAGAAAAAACAATTTCGCTATATGAAAAATTGCAATTATATAAAATTACTTGCTCTCCCAAACTCTCAAGTATTGTAGAAAAAATAATCATATAAACTTTACCACACCAACTTATTCTACTCTTTGAACTCATTCTTTGTAAAAACTACAAAGAGATCAAGAAAAATTCTAGAATGCATGGCTTAAATCTTTCATTTGTGCCCCTCAAACTACATCAATATATGATGGACACTTGCGATATTACGCAACATTTTCTTTCGTTTCTAGTTGTTATACCTATCAACTTCTTTCCCTTCAAAGCAAAGATATATTTATTTATTTATTTTAATTTTTTTTTTTTTTTGGATTTTCTTTTCGCATTTTTTCCAATAATTGCCACCTTGACGAAAATTTTCCATATCTTTTGCGGCTCTTGATATGCATGAGAAAAATTAGTGAAGTTCAAAAATTATAACTGTACCATATAATGTATATGCACTTATAATCAACAAATTTCATGAATATCATCAGCCCATATTAAACAAACTTCCAGAAAATTATGGTGCACCCACTACGTTTGACTTTTCCAAGAGTTCTTAATTAAATTCACCCGCACTTCGGTTGGTCTAGTTTGCACCCACAAAGGAAACAAGAAAAGCCACATTTAGGTTAAGTAAATAAGTGGCCAAGACCTAGGCAACAAATGGACCAAACCTTTATGAGCTTCCAGAAAGTAAACGGAATAGGCTACAAGTAGCTCAAATTAAATTAGGTTGCTTCTAATGGCATCAAATGGTTTTCAGGTAGGATCGTTTCATTGAGATGTCAATATTTGATTCAGTCATCAATGTAGGCTGAAATTTTCAACAAGTAACATTTTCACTCGAGATTCAGTGGTATCAAAACCCAACAAATCTCTACCTTACTACCCAATCAACTTGCAAGCACTCAAAATACAAAGTTTATAATTGTATAATCAAGGTAACCAATAAAATTGGGATCACAGACCTTACCTTGTGTTTCAAACCTGAAACACATACTATACTTGCTCCAATATTTTCAAAGTTCTCTGGTAGTTTTAAGCTTACTCACTTTTCTCAAAACAACATCAAATAAGTGTAAAATGATTGAAACATAAGCAATCTCATCAGCATCTACCTTTTTATTATTATTATAAATTAACCAAAAAATTGCACAGAATCACAATTAACCTACACAAAATAATTCTAGGGTTACAAATAATATACATCGTTTTAAATTCTCAGGATTTCGTAAGATTTGCGATCCCAGTATCAAATGAATGTTCAAATGAGTAAGATTTAGATATTCTAATGGAATTAACGATACAACAAAATAGGTTGCCAACCAAATAGTTTCACACAATGCAAATATTACATCGTGGCATGAATGAAAATTATATTACAACGACTATTAGCTTATTATAGCAAATGAGTTAAATACTATAAACATGTAACTCTACTTGGTAACTCCAATTTTAATGTCATCCCCCACAATGACTCACTAGGGTTGAAATTTAATCGGGATAAGCTAATTTATCAAAGTGGACCAATCTGTAAATAATGAGAGATACGAATTTACTACTTTAAGATCAAAACTATGCATCCTATAGTTTCTGTAAATGCAGCAACACGATCAATTGATAATCACAAACCAAACATCCAGGGGCAAAATCATCCAGATTTATCATATAACCTAAAACATAAAACTAATTACACCAAATCGATAGAAATCACGTTAGAAATATTCTGTCTAAAAAAATCGTATCGAGAATCATGCCTACGAGTCCATTGTCAGAATCGCCATGAGTTGCTATTGACTTCAGATGCCACACACCTAGGAGCGCCTCCACCTATTCGTCTTGAATTCGGTCTCCATTTTACCAATAGACCTCTTGATTACTCGAAAATCAAGATTACAGGTCCAATTTTTGCAAACAAATCTGGGCAGTTTAGTTCAATCTGTATTATGTTGATTTTCTACTCAATTTCTAGCTTGTCTTTAGCCGAGAATCACACACAAATAAGCTATGATACTATTTTTTTTGGAAAATAGCTCCATCAAGGTGTTTTTGGGGCTTAGTTTACCAATCTCAACCTTATCAAACACCTCAAATTAACAACCAAAACCACCATTATTTGCCCACACTTCAGTTGCTCTAGTTTGTAGTCACAAATGACATAAGAAATGGGTGTTCTATTGTAACCACAAAAGCAAGAATGAGAGCTGGAGAAGGCGATGAAAGAGAGCACAAGGTAGCAGCCACAGTCAACAACTCAATGGCAATACAAACATACGGTTAAAGTGATTAAGGAGGGAGCCATATATACATATGGGTTAAGTAAATAAGCGCGCCAAGACCAAGACAGCAAATAGGCCAAGTAAAGATGGATAATAGGCTAAACCTATATGAGCCTCCAGGAAGTAAATGACGCGTACCACAGGCAGCTCTAATTAAATCAGATTGCTTCCAATAGTCCCAAATAGTTTTCAGGTTGAGTCATTTCATTGAGATGTTGATATTTAATTTAGTCATCAATGTAGATTGAAAATTCAAACGAATACCATCATCGTCGAGAATTAGTAGATATCAAAACCCAACAACTAGCAATAATGCATCCACTATCAAGATAATTAGCATGCCATAAGGATGAACATGTTCATACTAACCGACAAAGTAATATCATATGGAAAGAGGCAAATTGTAGGAATACTAATTGTATAACTCCAAGTAATTAGTGGAGCACTCCAAATGACATTATGCTCTTATACCACCATTGAAAATTGAGATTAATTTCTTGATTCATCAAAGTCGTTGTTTGGATAAATTTTTGTTATGTTTTAAAACTTAAAACATTGGGATCGATCTTTAGAAAAACATTAAAAGAACTGCAGAATCAAAGAAAATTAACACAAGATATGTTTTGCCCTTTTAAAAGGGCCCGGATGTTCGATTTTGCAACCTAATCACCCATTGAGCATCTCTCACGAGATTAAGCTCTAGATCCACTAATAACGAACAAGAACAGTGTACAAATGTACGAAGAAATTGGAAATTTCTTCGAGTTTATCTTGCCTCTTGACACAACAACACAACACTGCTATTACTCTTATAGATTGCACAAAAAAACCATTTCTCTACACAAAGAACAGAATATTATCAATCACAAAGATCAATTTCATCTAACATGGCCAAACCCTAATTTTCACTTAGAAAACGAAGGATAGAGAGAACAACAGAGAGTTAGACGAAGAGACTCTCCAAAAGAATTCTCTAGAATGGCAAATGAAAAGGCCAAGACCCAGTGTAAGTATTCGTATCCATCCAACAATTAGAAGGCATAGATTTAGCCACGTGTATGGCTAAAATTAATTCTTGAAGAGTCATTTTTATCAAAACACGATTTTATTAAACTTGAAATAACCACAGCAACTCGATGGAGCATTTG